CTTTTTGCTGCTGGAAGTTGCACAGAATCACATACAACCCTCACATGCAACAACAGATTTACATACAACCCTCCTGCCTCACAGTCATCCCTTCTGTAGAGTATTTGTGGATATAGCATGTTTATCTCCTACCATTCTCTCAAGACTGTAAACTTGTAAGTAAAATGGAACAGATTCCTTTTCCAAAGGCAGAGAAGTCTTCTGAAAGTATCCCCTTCAGTCTTCAGATGCTTTATTTACATGTTTATTCCAGCCATGGAATAATAAGCCCTAAGTTCAATGACTGCAACGTATCAGAAATAACTAAGTAATTCAAATTCACATTTATTTATAGAACAATCATTTGCTGTTTTCATATTTCATTTGAATATTTTCATAATACTCATTATTCTTGTGGTTAAACACATTTATTATGATTATATCCAAGGCATTTTGAGACTAGTGAAAGTTAATTTAAATTCACTTATTAATTATAACAAATTTAATGCAGGAAAAATAAATCACTTCCTATAATGCCCTCTTATATTTCATTAGTTTCTAATTTGCAACACTTTTCTGTTCTGTATGGAGTATTTTACTAGATCTAATTTCACCATATAAATTTAAGTAGACTTCTTTGATATTCTTTCATAATTATTTTTACTCACACAGCATCATTCTGCAGTGTGCTTGCTGAGGAGAAAAAGGAGAATTTGCTGGTACAGCTCCATCACTTGGTAGTAGGAGAGCAGTTTATGTCATGACAATATGCTTTTGATAACAGAGTACAAAACGATACAGATATTCAAAGCCAGAACACCAAGAGCCCTGCCTGGTACTTTACTGCACAGCAGCACACTTGAAGAAGAATGTACTTTTCACTTAGAATTCTTTCTCCGGAAAAATATTATCTGCTATTTCTGAATGGTTAATGAAAAAGTTTGAGAAATTACTAACTAGGTATCACGTTCTGTTTGCTGTACTGCAATAAGCAACAATAGTAGTAGGTACTGCCAGATAGGGTGTTTGCAACCAATGCACTATGGTATAGTGGCAGTATTGATCCCAAATACATATTCAGCAATTGAAAGATCATTTTTGAACTGCACATCAGTTCACAATTAACTGCCATAAAAGCCGACAAGAAAACAAAGCGAGGTTACCTGTCTTTTTTGGAACAAAATTTTGCTCTTAAAATCTCTTCAAATCTTCTAAGACTCAGACTTCAACTTCAGCTGGAATCATTTGTATATCTGACATCAGACAAACCCCAGCTCAAATAACACTCCTTAAAGCTGATATAACAGAAAGAAGCAGGCACTCTTTATTACAGCACCGATGCACAGAGGGGCTCCACCTAAGGGGCACACACCAGAACAAAGGTACATTGCTTACATAAAGGGATGTCTACACATTTGGAGAGAGGTCTGCAGTGGTCATGAGATCTCAAATCCACTTAGGTTTGGTTAATTAGCAACAGGTCTTACTTTTTCAACAGGCTAGACAGATATACTAATTTTCCAGATGCTCCTACAAGGGAAGATCAGCCATACCAATGTCACATTCATAACAACATGTGATGTTGTAAAATAAGCCCTGAAGTAAGCACTAAGAGAACAGAAGCCTAGATACTAGGAAGCCATCTTATCTCTTGTTAAAATAAACTCCAAAGGGTTTAACATGCCGTATTGCTACACAAAATAGCAGCTTTCCAGGTCTTGTAATGTCAAAGCTACTGGCTCTGTAGGCTGCTGGAAGCCAGCATAAACACTAGACTTGCAAAGCAGAACGTCTAATCCACAAAATGGATAGATGTGCATGTAGAAATTTGATGCAAACCGAAAAACAGCCAAGTGACCGTAAGGGGAATCTTAGAAGAACATATGTAATTTACTGCAGCGAGATACAGTAAAATTCTTGCTGTTTAGAGCAGTGGCTTAGCAGAAACACATCCTTCAGGGCAATATCAGTTATGTGAACTGTCAGTCCATATATATATATATATATATTTTTTTTTTTTTTTAAGGTTGCATCAGGTTCACTTTGATCACAATTTATTATAGACAAAAAAAAAAAAAAAAACTGGCCAAAAGAAAAGAGAATTAACAGGGCAGAAGAGCTTTTTTTTTTTTCCCCTCCACAGTACAGAAAATAATGCAAACATCTGTTCTTATTTAGGAGCATTACTGAAAAAAAATTGAGATTTCAGTTTGAGTTATATAATTGCATGCCCTGGTAACAAATAGCTTCTATTAGGTGAAAACTCCTGTGTTGTTGCACCTAAGCGAGACTTATGCTTCCATATTTTACAATGGGGCTATTACTACCAAGATCATAAATGAATTTTTAGCAAGATAAAAAAAGCTGTGTAACCAATACATTTTCAAAGCGTTATATTTATAAACAACAGGAGCTCACAAAGCAACGGATTGCACAATTGTCACTTCAGTAGGCCCACATTACACCTCCATACTAATACGTAAGCCATTCACACACCCTTAATGAAATTAACACTCCAAATCCCTCATTAATTCCTACTGAATACAAACCACCGTGGAAAGCAGGACATTTCTGAGTAACAAATGCCACGAGAAATGGGTATGCTCAGAAAAACAGCAAGATTCAGAACTCATTTCCTGTTTAAGGGCGTTTCTTACGAAACCTGTGCATCCTGGATTTTATCTGCAGAAGAGACAACCCTGGAAACTTCTCCAATTTGTACAGAAGAGAACAATTCTGTAGTATTGCAAGTGGTTTTTCACATTCAATTGCCTTGATTAGAATTGTTCTTCTTAAGTCAGCAGTTAACACATGGACCGCACTTTTATCAACAAGATTTCACTAATTCTTAGGAGAACGTGTAAGGAATCAAGTTAAGAAACAAAACCGGACCTTTTCTAGATTTTTCTTTCTTAGTATTGTTTTCTGATAATCTCAGAAGATTTGTGTAAGCTTTTTGTATCTAATAAAGAACAGAAAACACGATTTTTCCTCCTATGTAATTTGTATTCAAGAACCTACGCAGCAGAACAAAGCTCTCTTGCCCACGGAAAAAAGAACACCTCCAGTATTGCTTTTCATCAACTAAATTTGATTTTCTGAACTTGTCATCATTATTATTCTTCACTCACATAATTACCTTTTGAAAGAAATCAGATGGAAAAGCACTGTCATTTCTACCCAATAAATAAAAAAGCTGTCTGGACACAGTGTTATAGAATTGGACAGGAAAACATAGCAACCAACATTCGTAAAAACAAAACAAAGAAAAACCTATCGTGTGTCCTCCATTTTGCTTTATAGATGCTGCCTGAGTTTTTAATCATTATTTCATGATCTAGTTTCACGGTATGCAATCAGGTGAACATACTAGTTAAAAAAAATCATTACAGAACTCAAATGATATATTAATATAACCATTGACTTCTCTTAAGCAAAAAGATACTGCAAAATTTGACAAAAAAACACACCTGTGCTTGAGAACTGAAGAGTAAACCTCATTTAAAACAAACTGATCAAGTCACCTTTAAAAAAAATACCACGTAGTACATTAGGATGCTTGTGGAGAGCTCTAACAGAACTCAGAAGCAACAGCACCGGACTCCCCATGAGTTCCAAACATCCCAGAAGACATCGGGGCCCTTATTAACCTAGATACAGTGGACTTCATTTGAAAGGCAATTTCCCATTCCTTTTCCTCTGCCAGGACAGTTACTGACACTGCTTTCTACAGTTAGCATCACTCCATCACTATCATCTTTATTCTAATTTTTTCTTCTGCATACTTGTAATGACTCCTATTTATAACATATTCTATTAAGAATGGGAACAAGACAAGGAAGGGGAGAGAGAACTCTTCATAATAAAAGAAGACCACAAATGAAGCAACTTCTCCAGTGCATTAGTACAATTTGTAGTTTCAACTTGCTCTTAAAACAGATGGTCCACTACCCCTGGCATGTATTCCTTGCTCTCAAAAAGTGTAACATAAAAGCCAAGCTATCTGGCAAGGCAATCCAGCTAAATGGTGATACATCTGGTAATACACTCTTTGGTCAAAAACTCAGGTCGAGAGCACACAGAATAAAAACATGTTCACCTGGCAACTACCAGAATGAGATTCAGCTTTCCACTATGGATGTTTGCTCACTGGGTGATAATGGTACGCCAGAAAAAAAAAAAAAATTGCATAAACAACAGTGGGGAATACCACTATAGGAAACCAGGTTCTGCTCTGTGAAGTGGTTCTCCATTTTATGTTAAAAAAATTATTTTAAAACACCAAACAATTACAGGATAATTGATAATAGAGAACTTTATCCAGTACACATCATGGTGCAATCCTACTGCAATATATTCCCAGTAAAATAACAAGTACTAACTCACTTTGCCCTTCTTATAAAGGACAGCATATATTCCTATCTCCTTTTGGCAAACCACATTTTAAAATTATTTTGGAAAAATGCATTTCCTGTGAACAAATGTCATTAGGCTAATTAAAATACCATTACAGAACTTCAGTGTAGCTGATATAAAAGAACATTAGAATAAGACTTGTGATTTTACCGCGCAAAAATCACATTATTATTCTACCATATTCTGAAAGCATTTGACACTTCAATGCATCCAGCAGATAGGATTGTTACTCAGCGTCTTCGCTATTGTTCAAAAAAATCTTGTGCTATTAATTTTAATTTTTACACAGTGTAAAGAAAGCAGTTTGATATTAAATTCCTTTGCAGTCAGAATTTCCATCCATTTGGCATCCACTAAAAGGAAACAGAGGTTCAAGCAGAAGAGAAACACTAGTTTGCTTTCTACAAACTCAAACATTAAGACAGAAGCAGAATCATCTATTATTTAAGAAAAAGAGCAATATCATCTGCAAAATAGACTTTTACTTACTAAGTTTTTCCTTGCTATTTGGCTATTCCATGTCTCTGCAGTTTTTAAATGAAAAGCAAGATAGAATGCACTGTGTTTTAAAGGTAAGAAGAGAAAATAACTTCGTGTATTCTTACCTTTGCATTATAGGGAATATAATGCTTTGATAAGGCTTCAGGAGTGTGCATCCATGTTTTGTCTACAGAAAAGCAAAATAAAAGAAGCACTGAATAGGTTATTCAATTGTTAATTAACCCATAATAATACCTATGTGAAAAGCATCAACTATACCAATTATGCTCATATATGCATCTGTCTGAAGTTGTTACTGGGGCTAGATGCAAACACTGTATTTTTTTTCAGCTTCCCATTTACATGAAAGATACCTCATTACTTCTCTTGGGTACATTCCTCATTTAACTGACTTTATCCACCATCAGCATTCCAACTCCTCCCCTTCAATTTGTTGCTCTAAGGAAGTTTGCTGCTCCTGCTTCTCAACATCAATATACCCTGCATCCTTTTATTTAAAGCACTAACCACATCTTGCACTTCTAATGACATTTTGTTGGGGTTTGACAAATAACCAACACGTTAAAGGGACTAAGGATATTATTTCTGAAAAATGTATCACAGTGAAAATAGAAATGAAACCTTAATCTTACTATAAGAAAACAGAATAAGTCAGCTTGTAGTAACTGATTCAGAAGGTTAGAATTTTTCATTATATGCCCTAAATAATAGTTTATTTTTCTTTCGATGATTTTCACATCACAGAACTGTGCTGCTGTCTTATTTCTCCCACTGCACATATAATATGTTGACATCATGACTTCATTGTTAGCAAATACATTTTGCTTCCAGTTTAGAATATTCTAATAATTTACGATAGAATATTAACATTAGAAATACAATGTTTTTATCAAAAATGTAGAAATATTTTTTCCCCAAACTAAGGAAAAACGGGCAAATTCTAAAATAATGAAGTGTATCACCAACTACAAGAGAGAATCTGTATCACTGAGTAGTATTTTATATCCCATACATTTGATATTGGGTAGTATTTCTGACATGACACAACTCTTGTTTTAATTAGAATGAATTCAAGTCACAGATCTGGAACTTTATTAAGTAACAGGTTAACAGCTTAAATCAAAACTTTCCCCTTGAACATTCACAAACAATTCTCAGTGCCTTAACAGGAGCCGGAGTTAAGGCAATTACTTCTTTATTAGCTACGCATAAGAACAGTAAAACCAGTCCACTTCAAACTGATTCGGAGCAAAAGTTGTGACATGAATTGACACTAAAACAACTGAAAATCGTTCGGATATAAGGAAGCAAAAAGTCTGTTAAGCAAGATATTCACCACAGTCGTGGGATCAAAATTGCAAAGCTGAAGGATATTTTTTATCTTTAAGCCAATCTCCTTGTAGATAAGTGGGTTCAGATGCGTTACTGAAGAGTGATATTATCACTTCTTAATTAAGGAAGCAGGATTTCTCTGCTCAGAGGCATGTAGAAGTATGGCTACACGCTGCAGCAACTCCAATTCCTTTCAAGCGTGCCTTGCAACTGCTGTGCAGACCAAGTACCTGCTGATTTCCAGAACGTTCAAAGAACTGAAGCCTGATGTCCATTTCGATTACAGGACCAAAAGCTGACATCATCCACAAGTGAAAAAGGAACGAAGTTGGTGTGAAAAAGGAACATGAGAACATCGCCTAACAGCCAAAAGCTGACCACGAGCTCCGTGAGCCAGGGCTGTGCAGGGCTGAGAGTCAGGAAGCAGGCTACAGATAAGCCTTCACCAGAAGCCCCAGGCGCTCTCTGCCCCATACAGCTTACCAGAGCAGAGTGGAGACCTGCCCAGTGAAAAGTTAAGCTCTCAAATATGCATTCACACAGCTAATGCCAATGTTTTATTTACTTACCCCTTTCTTCCACATCAGCTGTTCACTACCTTCATCAGCATACTGGCATACATATGAATTTGTCAAGAAAAATCTAGCAAAATATGCTCCAAAATAAGATACTGAATCTCTCAAAGAACAAAAGCCAACCACACAGTCACTACAGTCTACAAGAACAAGCAAGCAATAATGCTGTGGCTTCAAAAGACTAAACTGACCAAACGTGTACTGGCAAAACAGCTCTTAAAAAAAAATAAAATCGTTTTCTCCTCCCTTGTTTCTATCCCATGAAAGACAAGTTCAAACCCAAAAAATGGCATGATTTAGTTTAGAAGCCAAGCTGGAAATGCTAGTCTCAATTAAGCTGCTGGTAATCTTTCCATTATTATCACTAGGCACAAAACTTTTCCTGAAGCATTTCTGTCAAGTTGTCCACCTGTGTACTGTAAGGTCTGCAGCAAGGGATAATGCTGTTGGGAAATTTTCAGTACTATGGGCATGCTTATTTAAGCAAAGCAATACAGGAAGGCTCTCCTCGTTCAAAAGGAAATCGTTAACTTTGCTGGGTACCAAAAAGCTACCTGGATTTTATGAGATTCATGGCATTAATTAAAACAAGCCAGCAAGTAGTGTTTCCAACATCCACATGCGGATACGCAGACAGTGTGACCCAGGCAGTACGTATCTATAGATGCTGGAAGCCCATTTCCTAAGGGCAGGCAACAGTCACAGGCTAGTGGCATTTTTGAAAGATCTCTTGACATCAAACAGAATCAATGCGAGGCAAAATTCACAGTGATAGAAAAAAAATATAAGAGAGCAGATGTTACAGAGGTTTGTTAACAGCATTTCTCTTTGAGCTGTAAGCTCTGATTTTGGACTTATACCTCTCTTTTTCAGCATTTGTTTGAAATACTACTAAGTTTTATTTCTCATAGCCCTTCCAAAGAACAAATTTCAGGCATTTTGCAACCAACTGACCAGAAAACTACAAAAAAAGAAAACCAGTATTCTTTTAAACAGCTGATTTCAGTGTGGTTGCTGTTGATGTGATTCTTCACTATTAAAATTAATTTAAAATGGTTCACCATGTTTTCGTACTTATTCATTTTGAAGCAATAAACATAATAGGAGGCCCTGCAATGAATTGAAAAGTACTGCTCACATTATGATTTTATTAATTACATAGAAGCAAGCTTTCTAGACATTTAACAGATAAATAAAACAGCAAGTTCTAAAAAAAAAAGAACCAAAACCTAGACAAAACAAAAACTGACACAGGCACGCATTGTACGCAACTGAGTTAGAAAGTGAAAACTACAATTATTTCACCTGGTGAAAACCACATCTGTTCCAGACTTTGTCTGAAGCTATCGACCTACATTGCACAACAATTACATTGAAGTTGACATAATCACCTAATTTGTGCATTTTCTTTTTGAGAATTATGACTTAGGGCCATCCAAAAAGCATTAAAGCATAAGCAGAATTTAACTCGAATGAATCATGAGAGATGCTAGGAGGCAAAATGCTGAGTATGTGGTTGTTGTGACTAACACAGTACCACTGGGAAGATGGGAAGAACATACGCTGTTCACAATGCAACTCAGAGTAAGCCACAGCGCTGCTTAAAGAGAGCCAGTAACCCTGCATGCCCATACACGAGTACTTCTCAATTATATTACGTGCTTGCTGTGCAGCAGACTTGTGGAGATGGATGTCCTGTAGCAGCAGGACAGCACCCGACCTAGACTTTAAGAGTGTTTGATTGCTGTAAGAGTTTCTTGGGCTTTGCCTTCTGCCAGCGGGAAAGCTGCCTAAAACTAACATTTGGAAAATGAATCATTTGATAGATGTAATTGCATCGGCAATTCATTCCTTTCTAGCCCAGCTGAATCACACCAGTCCCTTTCTACCATGAAGGGGAGAAGACTTCACAATCTGAATCCATGCGGAGTACAAGCTTGTCTAGAGGAAAAAGGCACTTTGTGACCTTGGAGCCGTTAAGAGAACAGAAGGGAAACACGCAGACAAATCCCACACTGAAGTCAATAGACCCAAAGACTTCATAAAGTATCTGGGTGAACTGTGCTGCACTTAGAGAAGAACATTAGGTTAAATAACAACACAACTCACCATTTATCTAGCAAAAAGGTAAGAAGCAACAGTGCCAAGAAACTGCTCTCGGAGATATAGATTTCTGCATGCATTACTAAATGCTGAAGTATTGTAGAATGGATTTTGTAGGAAGATAAGTGAACTCTCCTATTATATTAAACTGCAAAACAATGCTTAGTAGTGCTAGTTTAGTTAAGCTTCTCTAAATCCCATACTCATCATGGATTCTACACATGGCTCCGCTTAACTCAGCTTCCATATATTTATCAAACATGAGCTCAAGTGGCCATTCAAGTTAACGCAACAAACAGAGAAAGATTCTGGTTCAAACATATTTTTAGTACCCCAATGAAAACACAATCCCATCTAGAAAGTAGAACCTAAAGCCTTCATTCTTGACCGAGTCAAAATCTCTTTGACATCAGTGGATACTGAGTAACAGAAGAGAAGTATTGAAACTGTCTTTTCTTTCTGTTTTATAAACCTTGCTATGAAGAAAAAGATCTTTAACAAAATTTGTCTCCTGCAGTCTCCCAAAGAAAAGGAAATCCCACAAGATCATTGCTACATCTATGCAGCACCGATTCAAGGAACAAATATGTATCTGTATTTTTCATATAATCTATGGTATCTATCTTTGTATCGATGAAGAAAATCTTCACAGTATAATATACAGTACTATGAACAGCAATATACAATTGTCAGCTTGCCAAACCACTTCTGAAATCCACACAGACAGCTAACAAACACTGAACTGTAAGATACCTGTTACCAGAGTTATGATATGAATGCAGTATTTAAACACTGCAAACAAGTCCACCTGCAACCAGTAATTCAGCTAGGGCATTCACCTCAACTTGCAGAGAAATGATGGGAAACAATCTATATATTCAAGTAGAACTTATTAAAATTACGATCAGGGTAATATGATTAAACAGAAATAAGTCAAATTCTGTCCCAAATATGTAAAGGCAAATGACACTCAATATACATAATTACAAAATAATTAGCTTGTTTTTCTTGGCTTTGTTTTTTTTTTTCTTTGCTTTTCAAAAAAAACATTCTTTGGAGACATCACTATTCTTTGACAAGACACTGAAGCCATATCTGCCAAAAACAGAAGGAGCTTTGCAGAATGTTTAGCCTCTCAATGTCCTCCTGTTTTAAT